GATGATAATGAAAAGCTGAATGTAATACTTTTGTAGCAAATGACAAATAGCCTATCTTTAAGTAAATTTTATGAATTACCTGTTAGATTACTTAAACTACCAATTGTCCAATAATCATACATTTATAGTTTAGTTGTTGAAAACAATTAAATATCTTAAAAATCTTATTATTCATTGATCCTCAAGTCGTACAGTAATGGTAATATAAAATGATACACATTTGTAACAGCTAAATAGCCTTAGTAACTAAGGTGTATATTCATCATTTTAATCGTGATTCTGTTATAGCACAAGTTGGTTGAAAGAGAAATGGTTTTTTTGTCATATTGATCTCATTCGATAAAAGAGACTGTCTCAGTTGACATTTAATCTAAAGTTTTCATGTTCTTACATTAAAAAAATCGAATACATGTGTATGCATTAATTTCTTATTTCTACCACTTTATCTGATAATTCTAAATTTTAGCTCTTAATCTGACCTAGAAATATAGAAATTGCCATAGATATAGACAGAATGTATTCATCTTGAGATAGTGCTTATAATTAATTGTATAAAATGAGGCATATCAAACTTGATAAATTTTCTAGATTTAGCTAGTTCATTCAGTTATAAAATTGACCACTATTAAGATATTTTCTAATTAGTAAAGTATATAGATAATTCAACATCCTACATCACTCTCCTATGATATATAATTCACTAAGTTGTTAGAGTGAGATAATGGAGTGATAAAATTTGTAATTCATGAAAATAAAAGTAGCCTGAATCATAGACTATATTTAAAATGAGAACAGATATTATAACTGACTGTTCATTCTCGTAAATTAAATTAAGTTCCATACTGAAATACAGCATCACTTAAGAATTCACTGAGAACGACATACTATCTGTCAGTTATTTTTTTCTGGTTTCTGAAGTTCTGTACCTCACAGCTAAAAAATAAATGCATTCTTGTATTCATTGACAATAATGGAAAAGGTGGGTGCAAAACAAAGAAGTCCCAAACCATTCAATTTCAAACAACTTTTCCCTAGTACGACAATGAGATAAGTGAATCGATTCCACAAGAGTTCAATATGTTTATTGATAAAGATTTTCAAGGAAAAGTGGAAAATCCGTCAATTGTTACTACAATTTTTGTTAGTGAGGTCCGTGTTAAAACGTTCAAACAGGTAAACACTTATTTCATTAATGTCAAATAATGAAATCAGTTATGCTAATTCAGAAATTCAAATACAGGAAAACATTTCACGAATCAACAAACAACAGAACAAAAAGTATTATATCCCTTGATGGGCTATAAATTCAGTATTCATCCAAAATGCCCAGCAATTCTAACCATCTTCAATTAATTCTGAACAACAGTCTATTTATCAGAAGGGATTTTGTGGAGATTTTAGTAGTTTCAATGGTTGAAATCATGAGTCAATTGAAGCTAGACCACCATGGAAAACCTGGAAGCACTGGACGGCCGTTTCATCCTAGTATGGGACTCCTCAGCAGTTCACATCCATAAACAGTCTAGTTCAATAATATGTATCTAATAAGTGAATTACTGTTTTATTAATATTTCTGTGTCAGAGTGTAGAATGTGCACAGATTGTACTTTTAAATCTGCTATGATTATTGAAAGTATAACTCTCATTTAAGTTTCAAGAGGAATTAAATTTTAATATTTCGAAATACGCTTAATCCTGCTGTCAGATGTAAGGAGATTATCACCAATGAATGAATAGTTGAGCAATGTCGCGAAGTGATTGAAGTTAGAAAGTAAAGCTATTGGATACCAAGTCGGTGGTCTGAAATACTTGAGTCTGATTCGTGGTGGAGTTGGATGGGCACTGCTGAGGAGTCCCCTATGAGGAAGAAAAGACTATCTAGTACTTACCAATTTTCAATGGTTCTTTAATTAAAGTCAATTCATGATGTGAAGCTACGAAATTCATACAACTTTAATACTCTCTATACTTGAAATACTGTACATGTCACCATGTATAGGTTATAAAATTCGATTCTAAATAGAGGAGTAATATCCTCAACGTAGAGATGTAATAAAAGCATCATATATAATATATATTATAGCATAGAAATAGGAAATATCACACACATATAGCCTGATAACATAACTCTCTGAGCTTCAGATCTAACATTTAACAGTTTTATTGACGAATTAGGCATCAACGGTAGGCTATATTTATCTAGAAGTAAGGTTGATGTATTCTTTTTTTGAAACTGAGTATATCACTTTTGAATTGTGTGATGACCATATAATAAGTTATCGTAATCATGAAAAATCCATCTTTGATATTTCAAATTACGAACATTCGTAACTTATTTCACCTGTCATTTTTAACACATCCTAGATCATACCTTTTTGTGATTTTAATGTTACATGTGAGTTCATTTTTATAGGCTAGTATTAGGTTTCTTTATGCAAGACACTTTATTCCTTATTATCTTGACAACCTATCGAATACTTACATTACTCATCTTTAAAATATGAAAACTATGTATTTTTTTAGGTTCTATATAGATGCTAAGTGACAAGATTTTCACACCGAATGAAATCTCTGTTTCTCCATAATGAATAAATGTGAAGTGTTCATTAAACATTAACCTTAGATTAGCATAGTAAAAATTCACTAAATTGATACATTTATTGTAACATGTGATTACTGTAACCTGTTCATCAATTAAATAACTTATACAATATACATTTACATATTGAAATTTTCGATCGTTTTTCGTTGGTGGTTTGACCATTGATAAAATTATGGATATGATAAACTATATACATTGTTGATTGAGAATTGACAAATAGATGGATAATATTGAGTTATATAATCCTCTTTGGTTGGTTAATGCTTACTTTCTTCTCTAATCCTCCTACATATTTCTCTATATTGAAATAGGTCAAAAGTATCGTGGTAATTGGCTAATAAAACAAACCAATAAGAATGACGAATTTTCGGTCTTGAAAATTTCATGACCTGAAACTAACCTTATTATAATAATTACTACTACACATTAATGATATTCAATCAACTGAAATTTTCTAAGGCTCGTATGATTTTGTGTATATATGTATAATCTCAAAAAGTGACAAAGGAATGCAATCCCATAAAATTTGCCACAGGAAAAGTCACATACAAGTCGGAGTATTGGATTAGTCTTTAGTATTCGAAGTAATATTTCAAATATAGACTTGATGACGATTGTAAAAGAACAATTAGACGCGTCTCAGACTTGAATCTTTTCATTTTCTGACTTGCTAAACGTCAGATAACTATTATCCATGGGTTTTGGTAAATTTTATAACAGTTTAAGTAGAAAATGCTAGACCATTGTCTCAACCTGTTACAAGTCATTAGAAGTCCATTTTTGATATCGACCAGCTTGAGGCCAGAACAGTCAGGCTCCAAGAGAATGCTTTTTGTTGACATCGCTAAGGCAAAAAGTACATGTAGCCTTAAGGGAATTGATGGTACGAGGAGAACTTGGACTTCAACCGACCAACTTTACAGTCTGAGACGTTACTACCAAGCTATTCAGGGCGCAACTGACCTACTGTAGAACAGATCACCTTGTTGACAAGTTTTTTTAATAGCATATATATATATATATATATATATATATATATATATATATAATTAACTGGGCATCCTGTTTACTTTATTGTTTTTACCAGCATGGGGTTATGAAGATTGTTCAGTTTTTTGATTGAGATCATTAATCGATGAATGTTAGACCACCATCGTCTAGTGCTTCCTGTTTTTCAATAGTGGTTTAACATTCATCGATTCAGTATCTTTATCGTGTTTGCATATCCTTTACTGTTGACACGAAGACCAACAGAAATGATTGATGGACTTAACTAGTTTTCACTCTATTAATAAATTGCAGTAATATATTTGCTGCAGGGTCAAACTGAAAAATGTTTACAGTTTAGTGAATATTCGCTGTTAGGAACCAAATATTGTAATTTCTATAACATTCTCTGTCCAGTTATGGAAAGGAATGAGTGCATCGACTTAAAATGTATTATAAATAAGTTTATCGTTTACAATATTCAAACGACTCTTATATACGTTACAGATCAGTAAGTCGACTAATCTATGTCCATCACTAAATTTTTTGTAGGAACTGGTTTGATTTAAAGTTATTGAATGCTAAGTTACTTAAAATAACATGTATGTTTGAATCATTTTGAACTGTTCGATCAAGTAAACTAAGATTTCAAACATTAACTAACTTATTCTACAACTTCATTAAAATACTTAACAAGATATCGCAGATGAATCTCTATAGTTCGTACTTTTCAACATAACAACTAAGTAATTTTACATCTGTTAGCTAGGACTAATCGTACTTTTTGTTAGCTACTTTCCTGATGAGTTACGACAAGGACGTGAATACTTGTGGAGTGAGAAAAGATTTATAAAGAAACAGTCGCACAATCAAACGACAAATAGTCAAAATAAGATAAATGGCAAACCAAGTTGTATTCACCTGATAAGAAACTAGTAAAACTGAATAAATTCACATTGTTCGTCAAATCTTAATCTGACCGAGATGTTCACGTTTGCTTTAGAGATTAAGTGTACGAGATTACAATCTAATTTCTTTTGTACATCTAAGTAAAGCAGTTAAAAAATTTGAATGACTGTCTTAATTATTTTCTTAATTTCGGATTTGTCTGGCAAGTAAACCAATTAACACTCAGCAGTATCTGCATTCACTAATTAAATATATGCAAACAAACATTAACCCCGCTGTCAAACACTGAAAAGACTTAATCATTGATGAAAAATTATTGGATAGAATCTATAAAATACAATGAGATACATATTATACTAATCCGTCCATTCTGAAATTAAAAGAGTTCCATTTGTCCCACCGAATCCGGATGAGTTAGTCATAACAATACGTCGATGACTATCGGGCCACGTAACTTGTGTTTGATCGTGTCTAGGAAGTACAGCATAGTTCCTAAACAGATCTATACACTTTTCGTTAGAAGATATACTAGTTGAAGAACTGGAATTAGATTTTAAAACCTCCAACAACTCAGAAATTGAGATAGGATTATGCAGGTTGAGGTTTCCACAAATTTGATTCTGACTAACAGATAAAGCAGCGTACACGGTTTCTATGGCACCGGCTGCTGCCAAACAGTGACCAAGGTGACCTTTAATTGAATTGATTACAACAGGTGTATGGTATTGAGGATTAAAATATTCACCAAACATTTGTGCAATAGCGCTCAGCTCTGTTAAATCACCAACAGGGGTGGATGTTGCATGACAATTTATGTGTCCAATCTAAAAAAAGTAAAAAGATTATAAAACTAAGTTAATTAATAATTATAAATATGAAACACAGTCATATGTAAATAATTCTGCACCATATGAAACGAAAAATACATTTTTTCGGTTTTTTTTGAAGATTAATTACCAATAAGCAGGAAGTTATGGAACTCGGTTTCTTGCTTACGAGTGTACTTACAAATTAATAGCAAATGTATACATACCGAGAAATACGAATTCATACCGTGTAGAAATGTGTCAAATAAAAGTGTTGATCAATAGACGATAATTAATTTCGGATTTACATTGATCCATAATGTTTAGTTAATATTAAATTACAATAAATCATTAGAAAATCATTGACGATTGTAAGGTTTAATCACCGATAGTCGCTTTCAACAATCCTGTAAGATTTCATACACATAGTTCCCTTTATCATTTTGAAAGGAGCAAAAACAAACATTCTAGCAGAAGCATGAATTCATTTTTATTTCGTTGGTTCTCTTCAGCTGCTTACAACCTGTGATATTTAAAAATGCCTACGAGACAACTTTCACCCACAAAAGTTTATTGACAAATATAAAAAGCGTAAAGAAAACAATACTGACGTAATTACGGTCAATAAAAAATCAATAACTATAAATCTTGACTTCAAAGGTGATGATGTTGCAAACACAATCAACAGGAGACTGAATACTGCGCTAGCCAGAACTTATCAGGCGGCCAAACTTCTAATTCTGTATAAAACAACATGTTTAATAACTCAATCAGAGGTTGATAAGCATCCTTTTCATGTTACCGCCAATTGTATTTATAGATTTACGTGTACCTACCAAAGCAGCTACATTGACCGAACAGAAAGGAGGGCATATCTCAGATTTTTTGAACATGTTCCAAAAAGCCTCAGAACAAGAGAAAGAAAGACTCTAAATAGTGCAATCACTAAACATCTCCTCGAGACAGGACACCAGGTCGATACTCTACAATCATTAAAGGTGATTAGTAAGCAGCCAAACTCCAGTCTTCTGAAGCTTGCTGAAGCAGTTGCTATCAGGCACCAAAAGCCTGATTTATGTGTTCAAAAGGAGGTGGTTATTAATCTTTCCTTGCCTTGGTAATTAATATTTCTTCGTTATATCTTAACATTTTTTCTTTTCTTTAAACCCTTTCTTGCATTTATCACACCATTGAGTTTTATTCCAACTATCTTATTTTATCAACTGAACTCTACTCATTTTATTCCTATCAATGTTTACTTGTTTCTAGCCCTTTGAACTGTTGTCAATATTTCAATGGTTAAGATCATGAGTCAGTTGAAGCTAGACCACCATGGAAAACCTGGAAGCACTGGACGGCCGTTTCGTCCTATTGTGGAGCTCCTCGACAGTGCGCATCCACGACCTCGCCCCCTGCGAGATTCGAACCCAGGACCTACTGGTTTCGCGCACAAGCACTTAACCACTAGACCACTGATCCGGCATCCAACGGTATTAATGTTTAACTTCAACTAATCCACGAAATTGAGCGACACATTCACCATTGTCTTCAGTGAGTTACTATCTCACAACAGACCTGGTTGAACTCCACTGGTCACTACTTCTCACTAGAACTCCAGGATATACCTCGTGAAGCCAGTTACTAGTGAGCGTATGTTGATTAATATCAGATGGGTTTTTGTGGAGATTGTAGTAATTTCAATGGTCAAGATCATGAGTCACAATGTTCTTTCATCACATAAGGTATATATTTACAATATTCAGTCTATTATATTTATTTACACCCTTGCTATACTATACGAATATGTTTTCAATATAACTTCCAATCAAACTTTCATGTAAGTAATTTAAACCCATTGGAGTTCAACCGGTCTGTTGTGAGATAACAACTCACTGAAGACAATGGTGTACGGTGGCGCAACTTCGTGGATTGGTTGAAGTTAGACATTAACACCGTTGGATGCCGGCTCAGTGGTCTAGTGGTTAAGTGCTCGCGCGCGAAGCCAGTAGGTCCTGGGTTCGAGCCCCGCGCGGTGCGGGGTCGTGGATGCGCACTGCTGAGGAGTCCCATACCAGGACGAAACGGCTGTCCAGTGCTTCCAGGTTCTCAATGGTGGCCTAGCTTCAACTGACTCATGATTTCAACCTGTGAAATTTCTAAAACTCTCCACAAAACCCATTCTGACATTATGTAATTATGATTTTAAATATCACAGGTTGTAAGCAGCTGACGAGAACCAACGAAATAAAAATGAATTCATGCTATTCTGCTAGAATGTTTGTTCTTGCTCTTTTCAAAATCCTTTAAGAGTTTAGTTCTAGAAAAATCAACGTCATTCGTACAAAGTACCGTTCATCAATTAGAGTATCTCATTTACTTTTATCCGAACAGAATAGCATGGCAGAAAAAGAGCATTAAGCAATGGGCTTCATAACAAATAATTAAGTGAAAAAATAGAAAATGAAAAACTATCTCATAATTATAAAATAAACAAATAAAAAAGACCAAGCAATGCTATAAACAAAATATATTTTGCTTTTTTTTACTAAACTAAATAAGGTTCGTCACTGATTTCGATTTTGAACGATGTCTAATATTGCATTAAGTCATTGAGTTGAATTATATTAGGACACTAATGATGGGTCGATAGAAGTGAACTTAACCTACCTGATATGTATTCAGCACGTTATGTTATGGTACTAGAAGCCACTTAAATCCTTCTAACTAATTTCAATGTCAGGAGATAGTACTAGTTATAAAAGCCGCAGAGACGTTATACAACAATAGGTTCGTAAATCGAAGTATGCTTTAGCATTTCATCACTCGTTGGACAATAATCGCGAATATGAGATCCCACTTTTATATACGCGATATATTCAAGGAAGTAAAAACTGATCCATTGAATGTAGAAGCAATGATGACTGGGCATCATAAATGTTGTATAGCCAGAGTAGCTAAGTTTTAACTGGATGGTAAGTTATCGTCTTATTATGAACTCTTTAAACGGATAACTATTATTTTTGGTACAACCGTCTACTTCCTTCATCAGTCAGTTGTAATCGAATCAAAAGTATCTGGAGTATTCACATATAATATGTTTTTATTCATTCATCCAGTTAATTTTAAATCACAATTAAATAGTAAACTCAAGACATAATACTTCAATAGGATAGTTTAGATGTCAAAAATCTAAGGTAGAGTCCCTCGTGAACTTCCGCCTCGTTAAGTGGACCAGTTCGTCACGGGCCATGGAGGGCAGGAAAGTTTGATCGATGTCGTCAGAGCAGTAGATCAGTTGAACTGTCCTTCGGAAAACACTACCCATCGTCCGAGGCGTCCATAGATGTTACTGACCGAAATCCCGTCATCAGAGATTGTTTCACTCACACGAGACTTCTTGCTGCAAGTGACTCGGATGAATCGAAAGACCCTTCGGCAGTTACCAAAAGCAGCTGCTGTTTCCAACTCGTTAGAATGCTCCAACCACCGGGCTTCTCGGTCCTTAAGCAAGCTTTGCATAATTTTGTCACGCGAAAACCTTCGTTTATGGTCAAACCCGCGGTTACTCGGAGTAGACCAGCATATTTCAATGAGTTGTGAGGAACCTGTGGAAACCTAGTGCTTATAAGCAGGACGTTCCGAGAAGTCGCTTGCGACTTTACTCGCCATTTTCATGGCGTCATGCAATTGCACCCAGTGCTCACCTACACTTTTCGATGGGCTAATACTTAGCCTTGAACCTTGCTGGGTTTGGTATTTAGTTGCAACAGACGCTGCAACCAATTTTGTGACATCGATCGTTTTATGGTGATGAATTTGTTGGCCACTGAAACGTAAGATAGGATTAGCGCAAACAAGGGCATGATCAGAGTCCAGATAAGTACTACAAAAGGAGCGGCAATCTTGTACACAGCCACACCAGCAGTAGCTGATTGTGATATGATCAATCTGAGTCCAGGTTTCAGATACAGAGGGAGGACACCAGGTAGCACATCGGCAATGATTGTGCCGGAAGTTAGTTCTGGCCGGAAACAGGTTGTAGGCTGAGCGAATTTGCAGTAGGCGGTCACCGTAATCTATTTTGCGACCAAGATATCCTCAACAGCCATCCATATAACTCTCCTATGTGCTTAGACGCCCGTTAGGAGATTCAGTCCCATGGTAACCGGTGATCAACAATAGGTTTATACACCTTTTGTCTCCTCAGGGTACTGGAGCCCATATGTGCCATTGGTTTGGAATTAGGGTTTTCCAACTACCCTAGGTAGATCCTCCGTACCCACCAAACCGATTAAAGCGCTGGACATTCGCTTTTCGTCCTTTCAATTTCGTAAACAAACTTCAAGTAGAGAACAAACTACGTGAAATTATAAGACTGGAAAAGTAATAGTGAGTTAGTCAGAGATAACACTGTGTTAAACTATGTTTATGATAAATGACTGGTAAAATTGACGTAATATAGAATGGGTGTGATGTGATAGTCTAACTCAATAACCAATTAAAAGTTAGTGTACACAGCTTTAGGCTATATACTTTGAATCATAAACCATGATTACACCTGGTTGTTTGAATCAATCCAAATAAGGCAGCGTACAAACCCACAGACAAATAGTTGGACCTCGAGCAACATTCTAGTAATAACTAAAGATTTCTTTCATAAATCAAATAGTAAAGAATGTATAACTGAATATCTTTTTTACAACAAGAATCAGACAAACGCGTTTAGACGGCAATGATTGAAGAGTTTTCTACAAGTTCTTTCTAACTTTAGCAGCACCGTGAATTTTCTGCATGGAGAATGACAATTACACCAGAAGAAAAAACTATATGGTTATTATAGTTAATTCTTATTTAACTAATTTCACAATAAATCGGTTCGGTCTTTTCTCTTTCAATATGATTCAATCACAATTACCATAAACAAATTCACATTTAAAAGTATCCCTTGGAAGTAGAACCAAATTTAGTCAACTTTAATTACTTTTGTTTTTACTGGTGTGAACTATAAATGCAAATAGAATGTTGTTCCAGAAAACATTAAATAAATGAAGATAAATTAATATTTTAACTATTCAAAAACAGCTCTTACTTGATTGAAATGTTTAAGTTTTGAGTCTTTGAAGGCATTTAGCATACTTCGAAGTACTCCATTTCCTGTTGTATCAGGTGCAACCAAATGATGTGCATCTCCTATTTGTATGAAAATACAAGAACAATGAAGTCTGAGCCATTTTGGGACAATTGGTGAACATTTTGCAAATTGAGCATTTACTATATGGCTGTTAGATTTTATTAACAAGTTCTGTAATTTTGTATCAAATACATTCGATTGTCCCCACCCGTGTACTATTCACTACAGTAAGAGTACAGTTGCAATATACAGGTAGACAATAAGATCAAATGAATCCAAATTTAATAATATATACACTCTATAAGAGTAAATATCAAGAAAATTACTCGTTCGATAGATCATATTATGAATCATGTATATTTTCTTTCCTTGAAAAATTATTCACTTCCAATAAATATACTGCTCTGAAATGGTGGCTTGATAGTTTAAACACTCGGTTTTTAACAAGCCGCAAGTTCATATGTCTTTTTATCTAATTCGATTAAAAAAGCCCAGTAGTATAACTAGGCCTCCAATAAACAGTGTGGCTTAAATTCAAGTACACAAAAGTGTACCTAGTAAATGAGTTACATGAATTCAATTTATCAATGTAGTATCATTCCTAAAATTTAAAAACTGCTAAAGTACAGAATAAAAGTTGAAAGGTGTTTAAGTATAACTTAGTTTTACAACTCTGTCGCTTGTGTTGTGCGTCAGACATAGATCAGCCAATTGTAAGTAAAATGAATGTTGCAGTCAAAACTAACCTGGAACCATGTAATTTGGAAAATTGCAGACTGAACTCTTATAAGTGAAGTTCAATCAATTATCACTTTGTAAGCAGTTTAATAAATATTTCATATTTATTTCTGTAGTTGAATATACTAGAGAAGTATGTATCATTAATACTAAAAAGGTGCATTTCATCGCATACACAAACCCATCTTATTACTACTAAATGATGAATAGTCGTCTTAGTATGGCCATTAGGACAACGTTAAAAAAAGCAGGAAGCAATATTTCGGGTACGTTTTTACTGAGTGTCCGCTTTTCCTGACGAAAATAACGAAAATATAAACACATGGATAAACCAGTTATAAAGATTTGAAGCGATTTATTAAGAAGGAACTAGTTCCGTAAGAGGAGAAAGTCACAGCTAAATTCCCATCAAGATAACAGAGATGCAAAATCCTATGATAAATGCTAAAAAATCACACATCTCAGTAAATTGGAACAAAACTTACCAGATCTTCCAAAACCAATAACTTCAGCTATCGGTTTTGGTGTTTTCATAAATGATTCCATTAAGAAACTGTCTGGAGGAGGCCATGCCTGTAATACAACTGTAGCTGCACCTTCAGATAACACAAATCCTTTTCGCAAGGAATCAAATGGACGGGAGGCTTTCTCAGGATTATCATTAAATTGTGTACATAATGCACGTAGTCGACAAAAAGCAGCGATTATCCAGGCATTCAAAGGAGATTCACATGCACCAGTAACAACCAGATCAGCTTCGTTATTCTGAACTGGTGAAATATGAAACGAAAATAAACGAGCGATTAATTGATAGTGAAAGCAAACAAGTGGATATCACTCTCAGTTATTAAATTACAAGTTATTTTAATTTCTAATTTACGTTTTTTCAGTGGTCTTATGTAGGGTGACTTAGTTCTTCAAATCTTTCGAACAAACAATTATATTTTAGTGTAGCCGTATTTGAAGCCTTTTAATTCTACTCTACTTATCATATATCTGTCTATATTATCGCATATATACATACGTATAAGATGATGATAGTGAATTTACATGTTTTAACCATGGTGATCATACGGTTAAATAAATTGCTTGCTTAGTTGTTTTACCATACACACCAGCGATATTCTGCAGTGATTGGTTATCAAATATCTATAACGTCCTAATAGAATAATTGTTTAACAGCTATAGTACATGTGACAAACTGTCAATCCTAGCAAGCGGTTACAAAGTGATTGTACACTTGAAATTGCTTAAAAATTGCTTACTCATACGGAAGCCTTCGCCAATGCAATGTAGGCCAGCAGCGCATGCGGTGTTGACTGTCATACATGGTCCTCGTAGTCCCCAAATTCGACTTATTATGGCAGCTGGGATATTACCGAGTGTTCTTGTTAAAGCATGAGGCCCAATAATAGAGTATTTCTTGGCTAAAATTCCTGATGATGTATTCATAACTTCATTTGGACCGTCCAACCCCACTCCAAAGCAAACACCTAAAGTTATACTACAAAATTACTGGCAAAAAACTCTCGAGCCATTAAATAACTTAGAATATCTATAGAAATGTTTGAAATACAATATACGAATAAATTAGTAATTATGACTTATTATTAACCTATCAATCTAGATAACTGGCATAATTATAATCTAATAAACACAAATAGGTAACCATGTGCAGATTCATGTATGTATGCTAATCTACCTAGATACTCGAACCGAAGAGAGTGGGACGAGATTTAAACCAGCAACCCAATGATCGCTTTGAACAAGCCCAACACTCCATTGGGACTTGCTAAACTAGACTGATTTCGCTTATTTTATTCAGGTAGACATGGGGTGATAGTGATAAAATCAGCTAAAATGATATGCATCAGCGATTGTTTTTGAAAAGCAATGTTAAAAATTGGAAAGTGCTAGAGTAACAACATATATCCATAGAAATTCTTTTATAGACACGGAACTATTGAATACAATAAAATGAATCGATCTACAGTCAAATATAAACATTCTCCATTCTCTTAATCTTTAAAAGTGACGTTACACAGGTAGTTAGTTATTCGGTCATAATTAACGTAGAACATGACAAAAATTCGTACCATATCCAGTTGATATACTTGACCGAACTCCCCACTAATTAAAATCTACCTGTGGGAGCATGACAGTTAACCTGATCAGAAATTGAAATGCAGATTTTTTGTTAACTGCAAACATATTCCCTAGATTATGCATCTGTTACAGCAGTTAGAATGTTAAGATAAAGAATGAACAATTTTTGAAAGATCTGTATTCCCTGAGAGTAAACATCCTCTGACGAATATTGGGCAAGCATATGAGCTCAAGTCTTTTCAGACTTGCTGAAGCCATAGCAAACAAACAGATTTTTGTGTCCAAGAAAAAAAAAACCAGTGATTGATGCCAACAGCTTGAATTTAAATATCTTCTCCTGAATTATCAAATCATATTTCGGTTAAACTCCTCTTCATTTCATATCAAAGCTTTGCTCTCAATCCAGTGAATTCAGCTAACCACGCTCTTATACACTTTGTTCCTTCATTACCATTAATTTATCTACTGATTTAGCTACGTAACCACCTATTTTAGGCTCCATAATGTCTTTATACAACCCCTGTTGATTTTTGGGGACCTTCTATCGAACACAATAATCGATCGCATTATCTTAGAATACCTTCCTAAATATATAAGGGTTTCTATTGTTCTAACCAAACTATGGTAATAATTTCTTAACCGAACTGCTAACAATCATCTATTTCAGAAATCAGATCATAGTGAACCTTTTCTGTGGTTCTGGCGTTTAAATATGACAGATCATAAATAGCTAATAAAGAGATGACGAGATAAAGTAAGTACTTCATTTGTTAAGTTAGTGTCCTGGCCTTTGTAAAATGGAAATAACTCGAATAATTCGGTTAAATATAACAAAAAGTAACTGGGATTCATGTTTTACTAAAATATCGAATGCACGTGCCGGTCGGATTAATAGACGTTTTAAGTACGTGATAGGAAGGAAATTCTCTGAGCTAGTGAGAAAACGTCAGAATGAAGTTATCGTACCCCGCGAGTGTTATCTTATTAGATCATTTAAAAACATACCTGCTCGATAACCTGAGTTTGCTTTCCACTTCACTTGTTTGAAAGCTTCATAAGTTGCAATAATACCTAGAGCACTAGCACGTGACACAGATCTCCAGTCATTAGAAATATCCAAGCCACATGACTTATAGACTTCAGACTCTACAAAAGACTTTTGTTCTTCCAATTTTTGATTATCGATGCTCCCAAAAACCTGACTAGGCAAAAAAGAAAATTCATCTATGGGTCATGAAAATTAACACAAAAATACCAAGCGTTTTTGATATTCCACAAGAGCCTTTCAAAAGATTCGCCCATAATTCTGATACACTGAAACCCAAAGGTGTACAGACCCCCAAACCAGTTATTGCGACTCTCCGAACTCCCGTCATTAATAGAGATATCTAAAGGATATAATAAAGAATAACTTGGCGGACGAGCTAAGCTTGGATATTTTGTAGTTATATTTGTAAAGAACGAGAAGACAAAAACTAAAGGACGGTTTATCTTAAATCTATCAGTCATCCCCCTCTTAACTCAGAACAATATACTCAGAATACAGTATATCCAAATGCTTCTTTTATTAAGATATTTTTCGAATTATCATACAGAATTACGTAGCTATGGTGACTGCATGCACTAGGAAAAACCATTGTGATGAGTAAATATTTTTTATTAAATTAATGTGAGGCAAAAGAAAGGGATGAAAAAGTGATACCCGTATAAGTGAAGGATTAAAATTAGAAATAATAAAACCGGAGTAGTCTTATTCTAATAGGTACAGGGACATGGCCCCCGAATGCCCAGATACGACCGAGGGTGGGAAGGGTCCACTCTCACTCTTGAAATGCTCTCACATGGCCACACGTATACAGCCATTGCCATGGAAGTCCTACTCATTGCCTTTTCGCAGCAACAAGGGTGTTGTTTACGAAACTGAGAGGACGAAAAGCGAATGTTCAGCGCTTTGGGTGTACACGGAGGGTTCACCTAGAGGAGTTGGAAAACCCCGATTCCAAACCAATCGTGCACATGGGCTTCAGGATCCTGAGGGGAAAAGTGGTGTATAAACCTATTGTTGGTCACCAGCTACCATGAGACCAAATCTAACGTCGCTTAATTGCCTCGTGGATTATACCTTTAGGTCAAAGGCTCAGACAGTAGTCCCCTAAGAAAATCACCTACTTCGGTTTGAGCGCCCTGGCAGTATTCTAGACCTTACAGGAATCCAATTTGTGTGGCGCATACATATTTGGTGCTTCCTTGTGCCAATATTTATGTTTAAATAAATAAATACATGGAGACAAATGGTGGATGTTGCTGCTCCAATAAAGTCGATTTGAATTACACTATTCAAATTTCTAGACTGATTGTCTATCTTATTCCCATTAATCAGGAAGCTGAGATTTCACTGCATGGTGTTGGCCATAGGTTAGTGACTTTATGGATTGATGTCATTTTGAAAATAAGCACCGTTTCAAAGAAAATTTTAAAGAAACAAAATCACTTAATTTCAACACTTTTAGAAATTTTGATAAACCTAATGAATGTGTCGGATGTGTTCTACTCAACATCACGTTCAACTACCACAAGACTAAACAACCACTACAAAACCTTTCTTTTATATATCACTATCATTGAAGTGACTGCTTCTATGAATTTGGCGTTCATCTCGTTGTCAATGAGGTATGGTAACTTGGACTGATGCATATGTGCTGGTCCTACGTTGTAGGTGTGTGACTGACAAAACCAAAGGATAAGATATTCATGTCTAATAACTCACACACGAATTTAGCTGTGCGAATCCCCCTCATATCTACACGGTGTAGATTCTACATCACAGGAAAGTAAAACTGAAATTGCTTAGATCCAACTAAATTTAACATGACAAGACCTTAAAGGGTTAATCAATTTTTGTCTGAATAAATGACACAAATGAAGTTTGTTTATTTACATACTGATGGGGAGTTGTCCTACATTTATAGAAGACTAGAAAGCCTAACAGACAGGACCCTAAACTGATGAGGACCAGAAATCGCTGTAAATGAAGACTTCAAGCTCTAAACACAAAATGTATTTGGTCGATATGTCATCCCCTTGATATATTAGACACGGATAGGAAAGTATAATAGAAAAAGAACAAAAATAAATAGAAATTCGTGTATCGGAGTGAAGTAATGATAACAATTATAATAATGATGGGAGAACCAGTTCAATTAAGAAAGATACAACCCAGCAAGGATTCTTTCAGTTTCTTTCTCGCCACTGACTTCTGTTCTGAGCCATGTCTGATAACGTCACAAGCCATCTTTAAGACGTCATACTGAATGAATCTCGCACATGTCACCTTGGCCGGAATTCATAGCAAACTGATACGAAAAGAATTGGTCCAAATAATATAATCTTATCCCGTCATGTCAGAGCTGAATTTCACTATCGAGTCTCCGAATTCACCTTAAAGTTTACAAAGTACAACTTTAACTACGGTATCTGATCGATCCTTGTGAAATATCCTGGGATCGTTTATGTAAAATCAACTATGACATTTACTAATAGCAATCTGGGTTTCACAAAAACCCAATACGTGTGGGTCCTGATCATCTATAAACCCTGAATTTATTAATAATCGAAAGTACACTCCGTTTCATCGTTGTATTGACAGTGAATCAGTAGGAAACACCCATCGCCTAGCTGTTGTGAAAAAAAAAGTTCTCAAGTGGTTTCAGTCTTTAGCAGGTTGACTTTTATGGTCTTCTGAATTTAAGGGAGTAGATTTCACTAACTTGATGCCCTTGCTCCTAGTTTCCCCCTCGGTGTCAAATGGGGTTGGGTTTCGTAAGTACCAGAAAGAGGATTTAAAATAAATCTGGTTGCTAAAGTCATAAGATCATCAGCTATAAGGTGGCTTGATAAACCCACTTTAAATTGTTATCATGTCCCCATGGAGGTCTACGTTTACTTTGACTGATCTTAATACTTCTGGAGAAAGTTATATATCATTGCACTCATTTCTAGTGAACTCAACGACATCAATTGTCTTTGGTTAAGAGGGTGAGGTTATGCGTACTGGAAATATTTCAATGAATTCGAGTTTCTCCAAAATATACCCCGTTGGTTTATATCAGGAGCACACTGAAAGCTAACGAAATGTTTCTTGTCCAGAGATATCATGAACAATTTGCGACCTGCGGAGTAAGAACCACTGCGATTATGAGGTAGGCTCTGACAACCCAAAGTCTGCCTAGTTTGATGCTAATGTGACCTTTATATTTGATAGCAAGATTCCTGCAAGTGGAATGGATTCCGGTTGTTTTATACCTCACACAGCTGATTATATACTGCCTGTATGACCCTACACATTTCTTTTTAAGAGGAATGAGCCATTTCTCGATACAGAAGAGGATTAAGAAACAAGGACCTAAACTTTTATTGTTTAAGACGGGCGACAGTAGTAGTCGAACTATACCTATAAGCCTTACTTGCATTCAGCCCGGACCCCACATTTGATGTAAAGTTGAGATTTTTAGAACAAAAACAGTAGAGATAAAAAAATTTTGGTTTAGATGTTTGCACAGAAAGCACCTGAGAACGTTCGCTACGGTTAAAACGATGAGACATTCACGTGAGGTGCCTTGTTGGGCTTTTTACAGTGATGAACATCAGTGAGCTTAAGTTTATTTATAAATACCTTCAGCACAGTACCACGAGGAAATTAATGTTCTTGAATTTGACCGGGACTGAAAAAAGTGATGAGATATTTACTATACGTAATTAACTACCACTACATTGAAGCTAATGAAAATCTGCTTGTGACGATTTACAAAAGGTAGGATTTAAAAATGTGTTAAGAATTTATTTGATCAGGTATTAAGTAGTAAAACCCGCCCAAAAAAACCAATTTCTCTTAGGAAGTAATACTTGCTTACGGGACAAGACGTGATATATTAGTAATCAAAGTCAGCACTCTGTGGCCAGTTGCATTGTGCTGAAGAACTCGAAAACAACTACAGTTCCCCAATCATTGCGGAAACATAGCGTACAGTACAGATCTGCCGCCAACTCGATGTTCAATGGCAAACAACTAGAGGTTTGTGTACTTATATTAATCTATTCAATCACTGAAATGGCAGTATTTCATGCTTCGTTTGCAAGTATCATTACAAGGCTTGAGCAATCCTTTCTAGTTGAGTACAGAAGTAACGAACCATTGAGTCGTATGTCAGTGAAATATAGAGGGCATAGAAAATGAACTGAAAAGCCAGAAATAAGATGGATATGCATCAAATTTAGGTACGTTGTCCTTTTATCAACTTGTGCAGCTGATTACAGAAGGGAGTTGTGTTTACCCCTTCTGTTGATTTATTAGAGGGGGAGCTGAACAGATACTTACATCCTTCTATCCGTTTTTGAATCCCACATAGCATGACATTGTTAACTGCTCATAATTAAACACACTTTTATACATACGTCTCTGGTTCTACCATGTTTTTGCGTGTGATAATGGAACGATTTATTAACTGTCATCTATATTTATAGACTGTTGTAATATTTACATTACATTCTACGTTCGGATATACTACTGAAGCCATATCGTCTTATTGGAATTATTATTTACCTATAATTGTGAATTCTGGTGCCAAAATCAACAGGACGCGCGCCAACCTGCTGACTTAAGTAATGTCCTTAAACTTTTATTTGTGTTATTATCTTATGCGTTGTTTATCGCTACATTAACTGTTGGACGTAATAACTTTATTGCTGTTTTTCGGTTAATATACTTTTTGGTCCACCACAAACACAAGAAGAAACTCATTAGAAAATGATTCATACAAGCCCTTGAGTTTATGTTTGCACGGATAAATTTGACGATTACACTCTGTCGTGCCAAAAAAATGAAAGAGCATTTCAAGCTCACCTTGTTGGTGAGGTCAGAAAGCTCTGCTATTATTTTAATCTCAGCTGCCTAAAAATTTACCAGTATATCTGTTTTATGTTCAGAAAAGACGTACTAATTTCCCTATTCTAAATGAGCCTTGATGTATTCCAGATGTCGAACTAAGATATATAATCACCACAAAAAGATGTAGTTCTCTGGGCTCAGTGAAGCTAACTAAGCAAAGATATGTAGTTAGCATAATCCATGTCTCATTAATCCGCCGTGAAAATTATGTGCTCAAAAATGGCCATCTTATTTAGTCAGGTGTTATTTCACATAAGCACCCCAGAGTTCCATAGTCGTATTTAAGGCATATAAATTAAGACGATGTTCACTTTCAAATTCTTCACGTAGTTTTGTCATTGAATATATTGTTTAGAATTTGACGATATTATTTTTAGGAAATCAGAGGTTGAAGGCATCCGGCAGGTAAAGGTGGTTTGATATCCACTCTCATAAACCAGATCTATTTTGGACTATCAGAAGTAATTGTAGTGATCCGAAGGTCATATTATGTATTCTCGCTAGTGATGCCTAAGACTATCCAACTCGTATTTTAATAATCACTTATGGGCCAGTAACGGGGTGAGAGAGAAATCTGTAAGCACAGTCGGAATTACTGTACTTGGAACTCAAATTATCCACGGAATGATATACGAGGAAGTCATCGATTGGTACAAATACCAAAGTAATTTGTCATGATCATAATTATTGATCCATAATTTTACTGATGCGTTTTGCTCTCTATCTGAAGACCGGTTTGTGTCAAAGCTGTAAAATAATGTCCATAGTTAAAGCACATTTATATGGAAGTCCGAAAGGTACACCTCGTCTAATTTTCATTTATTTAATGTAGTTTATTTATTTTACATTACATTACCCAGACTCAGTATATTTTATTTACGTCACATTTAGATATTACTAACACTTCTTATGCATTAAATGAAAACTAAACGTATAAGAATGGTACAGACATACAGCGCTTGACAGCCTTGTCGTCCGTAACATCTCTTTAATCGAGGACATCAAAACCCACTCAAACCAAAATTCAGGAATGAAAGGATCCCAAAGTACGTCTCGGAAATGGTC